GGGCTTATCTTCCATTTTTATTCAAAGTGTTGTGTCCAAATATTTTGATTCACCAAAGAGTAGTGACATTTTGATCTAGGAAGTTCAAAATTAAGATGCCTCAAGCAGTATTGCATTGAAGCTTCCCTTTATGCTTTACAAAGTAAACAATACAACATAGTTATTTCTCAATAATGTCATGCACAGATCATGTAAAGCTGCAGAATATAAGTCATAAAGAAATAATTCATATAGGAGAGGTTTTTTTGTGAGCTTATTTACAAGAATAGTTAAAAAATATCATTCTTACAGGTCTGTGATAATGAGTAGATGACATAAAAATGGAGAAGCTACCATTTCTCTTGTTCCAGGCACCTATATGCAGTACATTTTGACAAAACTTCCAATATGAACATCTTTGTCAGGAAATTTTAGCCACTAGTTTTCGCTAATCCTTTATCTCTGTATCAAGAAGTTAATTCTCACTGCTTCCTTCCCCAGAAAAATCATACCATACCATAATTAGGCCACTGAAACATTTTTCCTATTTTTCTTTTTAAATCAGGCTTTTAAAAATATTGAAAACAGTTTCTCTAGGTATCAAATTTTTTTTTATAGTTATTTTCTGCTTCTTCTCCAAGTTTTTCAGTGTTCTTTTAAACTTACAGACAACACAGCTCTACTCAGGATTTCAGTATGTTTCACTAAAGTTGTGTAGAGAGGAAGTGTCTCCACCAGCCTAGGCTTGAGTCCCCAGATTATGCACTGAGAAACGCATGACTTGTTCTTGCCTTCATATTTCACGTGAGATTCAGATGATTAAAATAATTTAGCTGATAAAGAGACCTTGCACAGTTTCTGGCTGTACTGCAGTCTTAGTCATTGCAGTTTATCAAGCAATGCAATTTATTATGCCTGTTTGCCTCTATTAGTTTTTAATATTGTGGTCAATCTCTGAACACAGAAGAAAATTTATTGTTTACTTCTGGATAACTTAAGGAATACAAATAGGACTGGGTTGACCCAGAGACAAAGGGGATATAATTGTACATAGACATCCTCAGATGATAGTCAAACCTACAGAAAATAATGGCTCAAATGTCCTTCTATGGTCATTGAACAGTAAGAAAAAAGGTTTCTATAGTCATCCAAGTGTCTTTCTTAATGATCTTCCTTCACTTAACAAACAGAAATAGTGGTTTTATCATTTTACCTCAGATAAAATGCTTGCAGTGGGGTAGATCTGGAGACTTCTAATGGGAGACAATGCTTTTCACCTTGAAGTCACCAGCCCAAGTTTTAACGTTTTTACAGTTAATAGAAGGAGTTCCCCTCTGGGTGTCTGTGTGTTTAACTTCCAGGCCAGCTGAAATGTAGTTTTTTGCTCTTAGCAAATTGTTTACACTTGTCTTTCAGCAGGCTTTTTGGGCCCTACCTGGGAGCCCTTAATGAGTGGAGGAACAAGGCAGCACCATGGAATGGGTAGTGTATCTCGCTTTTATAGCAAGCATAGGCAACAACAAATCTACATCTCTCCATCTGCATTGGTACCCATTGCAATTTGCCCGCTTTGGGCAAAGATATTTTTGATTTTTTCTCAACTCTTTCTCTACCTTCTCTCTGAGTTTTATCTGAACTGGGAGGAGGTAGAAGAGGTAAACGCTTTCTGTCTGCTGCAACAGCTTTGTGTCACTCCTCTTCTACTAGTCTGCACTTTTTTTTTATGACCACGATCCAAAGACAGGAGACAGACATTTTTTCTCTGCAAGGCTTTCTGTTTAATTAAAGTTAACTCTCTGTTTTTTAAGGAGGGCTCTGGTTAATATCATGGTAATGGGTTCTTACAATTCTAGGGAAGGAGTTTTGCAGAGAAATATTTTGACCTGGTTAAAATTTTTGTGGAATACCACAAAACACAAAATATATCCCTTAATCTCAGTGGCTATCTTGAAAACTTATTACTAAAATATATATAAATGTGTAAGTACTATTCATTTTTGAATGTTGGCATGTTGTAAAATTCTGTTTTCTTTTCATTTCATGCTGTTGTAAATAAACTGAATCTGTACAGTATGTTTTTGTCAGACTCCCAGAAAGACAATTTTATTTTATAGCACATCCTAGACTGACAGCCAGAAACTGTTCTGCACCACCTCAGTACAAACAAAATTAGCTTCTCACAATATTTTTGCAGATGTTAAAGGTCATTAATAGAATGAAACCAGATGACTAAAGCAATACATTTGGAATGATTGGGTTTTATTTTTCTCCCCAGCCTAAAGACACAGAGTCCTTTTTTCTTGACTAGTTGGCTGCATTTCAAATGTTCTTTTCTTTTTTTTTTTTTTTTTATATGCTATTTAATGGTTTCCAAAATCATAAAAGTGAAAGTAGTGGGATATGTATTTCTTGGCTTATGCAACCTCATTTGTGTGAAAGATTTGGGATCTTTTACAGAGATGAATATAATATTAACTGTTCAAGCTACACATTCCTAGAACAATTGCCCAATCTCCACAGTTTGAACAAGGTCACACTTTTGCAATGATCAAAAGAAAGATGGCTAGCAGATGCAAGAAAAATCATCTACAAAATGAAACTATATCCAGGGATAAAAAGAAAACTCCCCTTAAAAGTGAAGGTGGTTCTGAAATGCATTGATGAAATGAAAGCTGGTATTGATAACAATTAAAAATTAATCTTTTTCTTTCCTATAGACCAGCTATGTTAAAGTGTCATTACTGTTTTGAGGCTTACCTAGATGATAATAAAAAGCCTTATTTGTCTTCTAATTTCAAAGATATTATTAGTATGTGTGCAGTACTATATCCACCAGTTTAAACTATGTTATCAGTTTAAACTATATCATGCTATTTATATGCTCCTGGAAGAAAAGATAAATACAATTAATTGATTGTCAAACAATGTCTTAAGTGCTTTTAAAGAGTCTTTCAAAAAACTTTCAATATAAGTTGAAGAGTGCAAATCAGGCCCATCCTGAAAGCTGAAATAAGAATGTCTTTGTCTCTGCTTTGGAAAACTTGAAACAGGAGTGAAAAGAGAGAAGTGAAGCTACTCAACCTGTGCACAAATAGATATTTTAAGGACATGTCAAAAATGAAAAGGTGAAAAGTTAATGTGAATGAGTGGAGTGCGTTTCACTGGGCAAGTGAAAAGGAGAAAGATTTATGAGATAGAGGGGTCATTGCAGGGCTCAGACATCCAGAGGCAAGTGGGAGAAGCTGTCCTGTGGTAAGGATGCCTTTAGAAGCCTTTCCTCACCTTTTTTTAATGCAGAATGTAGAGTACAAGTCATAGAAGAAGAGATCAGTGGTTTCTTATCTTGATTAATGCAAATTCTGGACAAGGACTCCATCTCTACATCCAGGCAAAGAGAAAAGAAAGATTTTTGAGATACTGGATAGAAGAAGTGAGATTTGAAACTAAGCATGAAAGAAGAAATATCAAGCGTAAAAGTATTTATGAAGCAGGATGAGCAGCAAGATCATAAATGTATTTGAAATAAGAGAAAAGGGAAAGGATAAGCTGTATTTTGGTGAAGTAAGGCAAGGAATTTCATTTGAATATGGTCTATTTGACGTAGGGATATTCAGGTTGAAAACCTGGGGAAACAGCCAAAGAGGCTCAGGTGGAAGACTTGACTCAGAGACGTGAACTGGCACAGAGAAATAAAGCAGTAATTCGTCAGCAGAGGACTACAGAACTGGTAGTCAAGTCTTATTACTGGTTGGGTTAGAAAGGGGCATTACGAGAGAGAGAGGAGAGAGAGAAGGCCAAGAGTAAAAAGCATTGAAGAAGCTTGGAAAACCTGATCTTCTCTAAATTTAGACATTCAAATGTAAGAGAGGGAAATGTGCAAGTTAATCAGCATAAAACCTAAAAAGTAGCCTGGTTAAGAAGCAAAAGAAAAAAAAATACTGTAGAAATGATTCATTCCCTTTCCCGAGAATAAATAGAACAATGTGCTATTTACCTGTCTAAAATTAAATGAATAAATGAATAAATAAATGAATAAATATTTTCTCCCATGACTTAGAGCTAGAAAGTTGTCAAATAGGTTCTTGTACCTTTAACTATTATGGTAAATTTCTTGTGTTTTTTATTACAAAAGCAACAACAAAAAAATTATTGTGAATTTTCTGGCACATGCCAGCACCATCCTGATGCTGGATAGTTTTGCTAGGAAATAATCCAAAAAGATACTTTTCTTTTCCATATCAATTGTATTATTTTTCTTAGACTCTATTAGTAAGGTTGCGCGATAGTTTTGTCTGACTAGATCTGACAAACAGCTGGGCTGCATGGCAAATCAAGCAAGGATAAAAAACTGAGGTGGGTAGAAGGAAATCTTCAAGGTTAATGCAAAATATGTGCAGAAATTTTATGAGCTAGACCTTTTAAATACCATTGCTCTTTAAACAGTTATGGCATAGGAATATCTCCTACAGCAAGCATATAATAAAAAAAAGAATCATGTATAAAACCATGTTGCAGGACCCAATATTTTCTCTTGCTCTCCTCAAGAAGTATGTGGTGAGCTGGATGAGCTGTAAATGCAACCATACCACCACTGTTTTACAAGAGAAAAATGATGTGGTCAGTTTCTATTCTAGCTAAGCAAATTTAGATGGATAAAAACCTTAACCAAGAACAGTTAGCTTTCATCAGAGTATAGAAATTACAGAAAGACTACCTCGAGATCACTGGTACTGTTAACAGCTAAGCAATCCCTGAAGGTAGGATTGGAGGAAAGGACACTCAGAAAGCAGAATTTTTCATAAAGGCAAATTGTTAAATTGTAACATTATTTTTTTTATTGAATCTGATGGAAAACTGCTTTATATCAAAGACCTTTGATCTACCAGAGTATTGTATATACAGATGTCTGGAAGCTGGTAAGAGCTTAATCTTTTGCATTTACAGAACACTTTTCAAATACAGCTCTTAAAGCTTTCTTAAGCATCTCAGTTAATATTTTCATGCCCATACTGCAGATCAGTTCAGTGCTGCATTCTGGTATCACAAGCTAAGCTCATGCAGCAGCAGAGCACTCCGAGTCCTAACTTCTCTGGACTGTGAAACAACAGCCTGTCAATGTAAAGTGCCTGTAAACAGAAAGTCTCCTGCATGCAATGGTAAGGATAAGCAAAAAGTCTAACTAAAACCACCAGGCTATTGTATCTGGTTTTTCTTTACTCTGAATTGCCAGTGTGAGTCACACGTTCTTTTAAAAGGATATAAACCTGTCAGCTTCAAGAGGCATTGGCTACACCCTTCTGCTGTGGTTTCCTTTAGAAAGTTAAATTTCCATTAAATATTAATATATTTACAGTAGCTTTCCACTTAGTTCTGAATAGGAGGCATCTGTAATAACTGTGTTAACCTCTGGCAAATGTTGACTTGTTAAGTATCTTCTTCAGCTGCCAAACAATAATTGATGTTACAATATGAAAGTAATTTAATTCTGTTGAAAAGCAAGCAATTCAGATATTATTCTCTGTATGTGTGAACAGGATTCCAATATTCAATTATGTAACAAAGTAAATATATTGAGAAACTATTGAAGATAGACAGGCTTCACTTAACTCATTTTAAACAATGCACAAAAGACATTGTATAAAATTTTCCTGTATGTTTAAATATATATTAATGCACTGTACATACACACTGATTTTCCTTTAACATTTAGGGTTATTTATCTAACAAATTAATTCAACACAATGAGCTCATGCTGCAAAACGCCATGGAAATAGAGTATTTACATATGCTAATGACTTGCAATTAAGAAACATGCAAATAATTGTGAGAAAGCAAAATTAAAACACTGTGCTAATAACCTGACAATTACAAAGAAAACTATATTATGCAAGACTGCAAACATAATTGCACACACAAGGTCTATTTGACTACAAGGGTAGCTAATACAAAATATGCACCAAATTGTCACTTACTAGTCCTTGACAGACTTCTTGCTGTAGGAGTACAGCTCTTTTAAGTGCACGGTGAAGTGCTGGGGTTAGCTGACATGGGGGAGGGTCAGTGACAGAGGTAGGATAAGTATCAGATCAGGAAATTCATCATTATGAAGATCTTTCACAGCTCACTCTTTGGTGTAAGAAAGAAGTGGGACTGAAGATGTTTTTTTTGAGCTGTTAAGTGAAGCTAAGCAGCTGCTGCTTGGTGGATTCACAGAAATGACAAAAAGACTTTCCTCCCACCAGAAGATCATCATTTCAGAACTTTATTTAAATTCAAATTGTGATGGACTGTGGAAATTTAAAATGTCTCAGTTGAAAGTCATTCTGAAAACAGAAATTACGTTTTGAAAAGTCAAAATATTTCCTTTAACAAGGTAGAAATCTGTTTTGATGTTGCCACAGCATTATAATACTTTGTGGGCCCATAGCATATTACTTCCACTGTAGACTAACGTCATTCTATTGTTCAGCTGTAAAATTTTTGTTATATAAAGTGAGGAAGTCATTCTTACCTTTCGCAAGGGAAAATTTTCAGTCCTATTGTAACAAAAACCCCAAACCCTTTAGAAGTAAAAAAACCCCAACAAAAACCCTAGTGCCTTTTCGTATCTTACCCAACAAGAATTTGTTTGTTGGCTGTATGTAACCCAGGGAAACATCTTTTCAGCACACGTATTTCAAAGAATGATTGACGTTGACTTTCTCCCTTGTCTCTTTTCCTGTCTTACAGGCACAGTAATCTTCCTGGGCTCCAGCTTTGCTCCACAAGCACTGAGGTAAGGACACCTCTGCAGGAATAGGGGTACAAATTCTTGTATGGTACTAACTATGAAGGCTATAGCATTCTGATTCAAAGATGTACTCACCTTTGCCAGCATACATCAGTGACTGTGTATCTCTTGTGCTCCAGAAATTAAGGCAAATTTGCTGCTGGTGGTAGGGGTGAATTAATGCAGGAAGAGAAAGCTTACTTTTTCCTACCATTTCTATTATTTTTATTTAAGTTTTTTTTAGTTTGTGTTCACAATGATAGTGTGTCACTCTTTATAGATATTTAGGACATACTTCAATGAATGAGACTCATCGTTGTATTTGAATTGCAAGATTCTAACCCTGCATCATATTTTATCAATTTATAAATAATTTTTAACCTTACAGGAAATGCATGCCACTTCCCCAGCAGGTCATTTGAAAAACTCTTTTAAATGATAATACTAATGACATAGAAATAGAACAGAATTTAGTTTTATGTGTCACCTTTCTGACTTCAGAAACCTCAAGTGCATTTGATAATGATGATGGCAGTGGCGGCTGTGACTGACGGTGGGTGCTTTGGCTTATGTACCACCTTGAATGTTAACACTGTTCTTTAGAGAGAGAACATTGGCTCCTGCTGGGTTTCAAACTTGGCAAATCACATATTACACAGCAGTTCAGGCATTTTTACACAAGTTTAGGTTGATTCCAGAGTTAGGGTTGTTTCCTACCTAATGGTCCTTAAAACCTCTGGAGATTTTGTGCATCTATTTGAGACTTACAAAAGGCCAGAGGAATAGAGGTAACACTGTAAAACTCTACAGCATATAATCACACTACTACAAGGAAGATGTATCTTTAATATTAATGCTTACGACCATATCTTCTGGCACCTCCTCTGACAGGTGAAAAAATTTAAGCCAATGCTTGTTTATATCACTACCTTTACCTGGTCAAACAGCTGTTGGGATTGCTTGAAGTTGTGGTCATTGAAAAACAAGTCTGTCCTGAATTAGTGATGGGCAGTCTTCAAAAGGTTCAGAGTTCTGTTTTGATTCAGATAACCTTATCCAATTCTTGATTCTGCAAAACTGAGCTGGAAGTAATACAAGAGCATGCTTTCTGTTGAGATTTGAGGTACTTCTTTTTCCAGCTGTAAGTACTGCAAACCAGCTTCTTTCCCTGAATTTCTACGCTTTTATTCTGTTCAGAAAAAAGGAAATATTTCAGAATGCTGCATGAATGAGTAATTTTAGCTATACAAACATCTACTATGAACCCATCAGGAAACAAACTGTATGTCCTTTGAATCTGATCAAGATTAACCAGCAGATCCAGAGTAATGAAGCTCACAGCTGATGTAAACCAATGTAGATACCAAGAAATACTCATAAAAACAACTTTGATAGCCATCTTATGTTCACTGATAAACGTGAGAAAACTTCATAGTCTTTTATCTACCCAACTGTGAACAGCAAATGTGACTATAGAAAGTTCTAAACCCCTCACCCACTCAGGAAAGACTGTTTTGGTGTTTAAAGTATGAAAGTCGGGAAACTGCATCCCCAGTCACCTATCCACCTGGTCATACCCCTGGTTTCCAGGTTCTCTGAGGTTTTGCCTTGACCAGAGAGATGACTGCAGCTTTTGACCACAGCTGACATAACTCTAAACTAGCCTGGTGTTGTGGTTTAAACCCAGTCAGGTAACTCGTTCACTCACTTCCCCCCTTCTTTCCCTCCCCCTACTCCCAGAGGGACGGAGAGGAGAATCGAAAAGAATGCAACTCCCACGGGTTCAGATAAAAACAGTTTTAGTAACTAAGGTATAACACAAATCACTACTGCTACCACCAATAATAACAATGATAAAGGAAATAACAAGGGAAGAGAATACAACATCTCACCACCAGCCGACCGATAACTCACCCCCTTCAGCCCGACCAAGCTCTGACCGATACCTCCTCCAACCCTGCAGTCTCCCAGCCCTTCCGGCTAACTCCCAGTTACATCCTGGGCATGACGTGCTGTGGTATGAAATACCTCTTTGGTCAGTTTGGGTCAGGTGTCCTGTCTCTGCTTCCTCCTGGCTTCCCGTCCTCCCTGGCAGAGCATGAGGCTCACAAAGTCCTTGGCCAAACCAAAACATTGCTATCAGTTCTGTTCCCAGGCGGAAAGTCAAAACACTGCACTGCACCAGCTACCAAGAAGGAGAAAAATGACTGCTACTGCTGAACCCAGGACACCTGGGTATAGACATCCTGTCCCTGGCGATACATTCACATCATTGCTGGCCCAGACTGTGGGGGTTTGGGCAAGCACCCACTAAGCTGATGCTAATAGTCCTGTGCCTACAGCAGCAACCTCTAGACAAACTTTTCCCACACTACCTCATGACATTAAATGATTCTTAATCTACATAAATAAGCTGTTAGCTGTCATATGGCAAGTATGGTTAAGCATGTGAACACCTGACCATTTGATAGAGTTTGTGTAAGAGTGGCGCTTGGTCTTTTTGGGAATATTGGAAGGTGGTGATCCAAAGTCCTCTGAAGTTAGTGGAAACATTTCTAGAGACACATGGTATCGCTGCTGGGTAGAGATCTGTGTAAACAGCCAGTTTTGTCAGCATCTCGTTCTGCTGCTTGAGACAGGTTTCTGTGTGGTTCGCGCTTACTATTTTTCTTTTTCTCTTTTAATTATAACACAGGGGATTGAATTTGTAAAAGGAAAACATTAAACATATTTTTATTTTTTTTTTTTATTTTTAACTAAAGGGATGTTTTTATTATTTATTAAGCATGGGTCACCCACCAAAAGGCTTAAATGATCTAAGTGCAGGTTTCATTATGTTTATTCCTGTTCAAAGTTTTCTTCTTTCCTTTCTTTGCTCTTTTCCTTCCTACAGCATTCAGATTTTGTTTTATCCCATTTCCAATTATTTCTTTGACATTTTTCCCTTTCTCTCATTTTGATTTTCCTATCTGTTTTTCAGCAGATTGTGAGCTCTATAAAGGATGAGGTTGTTTCAAACTCACTGTGTTCAATCACATTTGGACTTAAGCAATCTTGCTCAGCCCATCTGTTGGTTTGGTGGTATCCTGCTGCTGGTCAACCAGTGGAGGAGTTCTCTGAAGGCTCAGAAAAATTGCACACCTGAACAACCTCCAATCACATACAATTTAACCACCTTACAAGTTGAAAGAACGGGGAACACGAGCAACTGAAGCCAGAATACTTAAGCACAGTGTGTAGAGGCTGTTGTTCTCAGACCATATCTCTTTAAGACAAAGATGGAGTGTTATTTCCAAGTCTCCACCACTGACATGTTTGAGTAGAAAATAGGAAACTAAAAGGAAGGTGTCGTAATCCAGTGTTTAGCCTTTTCTTTCAATGTAGTGGTTTACTAATCTGGGAAAGTAGGTGTGCATGGTGTTTGACAGGTAGACGGGAGAAACTACATGAACCAAAGGATGTACAATCTGCAGACCACTTGTGTGATTAGAGCTGAGGAAAACTCTGTAGCCATGCAGAGTGTCGTGGTGCCAGCTGTGCTCTCTACAGAGCACAGACATTTGATTTCAACATATGAGACAGAGAATACAAACTGAAAATGAAAGATGTAGCGGACGGATGTCAGTAAATGTAGTAATTTCATAAGATGGTGAATTCAAGTAAATATGTAACCAGGTATCGGACATATGCAAGGTTGCTGGAGAACAGGGGAGCACACTCATTCATTCTAATGTTTTAATCTATTTTCTTAATTGCTTTTTTAATATTCTCATAAATTTTTTTTCTTACTCACTTAAAAGGAAGCTGAATGAAAGGATGGTGACATGTGGGAGGAGAGTCAGGGCTGGCAGATTGTGTTCAACATCCTCCACATTCCCTTATTAGTTTAGTCAGACACATTATTTCACATTATGAGAAACAGATGAGAAACTGCTAAAACATACATTATGAGAAACATTAGGAGAAGCTGCTAAGCATACATCTAAATAATGTTAAACCAACAGCGACTCTAGCTGAGGGCCAGCTGACTCACCAAGCTCTGTAAATCTAACCTTCACAGCACTCACACAGTATGCATATTCCCACTAGCCATTGGACAGGTTGAGTTGTAATGCTGAGTAATCATTACATAAACTGTGTGTGGGAGAGATGAAGGAGGGAAACAAACTGAGGCAGCAGCACTTCAGTGATAGGAACTGAGGACAGCATCCACCTTGTCTACGTTATACCTGCTCTTCAGCACAATATACAACTTCAGCTACTCCAGACGCTCTATTGGGTGAATTGTACCACATTTCCACATGCTTTTCTTGCCTTGAGTTTTCTTCTCCTGTTGCAGAAAGTTCAATTTATGTTCTGTGCAAGACAATCAGCTAGAATGTGTCAAGTGTAATGAAGTTCTAAGGAAATAAAATAGGATACTTTATATGATCATCCATGGAAAATCATCTGTGGCTTGGCTGAACCTTTAGAATAAATGCTTGTGGTTGCATGGCTTGCCTTTGTTTTGAGCTGATCTGTGGAAGGCATCAGCAGGACTGGTATAATATTCAACTCTGTTAATATTTGCAGTTAGTGTGGATTGATGGTCAGTTCTCAGCAGAATGGAAAATGCAGTGTCTGTGTGAGATGAGGTCATTGCATATCACCTAGAATGATTTTTCCATAAAAGTCCTTTCTTGGGATTTGGCGTCTTAAGCATCTCCAACCCTTTGAGTATCCTTAGGCAATATATTTTGCAAATCTTTTAAGTAGGATGCCTCAAATCTGTGTGTAATACTGCAGAAACTAAGACGTTGCTCCTTTTCACACAGGCATATTCATGCCAACATATCTAGGAAAATTCTGTCTCCATGTCAGTCAGACTTATGCACATTTTGCTTTTATTGTTCCACAGAAATTCAATATGATATATTTTAACCATAGTGTTTTGTGTGCTTTGTGGGTTTTTTTTTTTGTTTGCTTTTTTTTTTTAAGGATGACACAGAATCTTTGATTTGACTTGTTCTTTTCAGATTCTTTGGAAATCTCAATAATTGTGTGATAATCATTGGCAATAAAGACTAAAACATTGTGTAAGATATTGCATTTTGCTTGTAAAGAATGAATAAGTATAAATATGACAAATGTATAGCCTCTGGTAGCAAATGTTGGGTTTTTAATAATTACTAAAGAGAGACAAATCGTTCCTAATAAATAATGCACACTATGCAGTAGACAAGTCCTTAACAGGATGGCCATAATTTTGAGTATATATATATATGTTTTGTGTGAAATCAGAGATCTTTTTCTGTTTTCCTGCATATGATACCTATCACCTCTCTGTCAGTGCCAACCTTTACGAGACTTGTGTTATTCTGCCATCTGTCTGTCTTACTAAGTTTTCCACTGTTTCTGTGTTGTGCTTTGATGTTGCATCTTTTTTAATTCCTTTTAAGATCTTTCTCGTTTCTGCTTGCCACTGGTGGAAGAACTTCGTCTCTTACTTCATCCAGCCACAGCTTCCAGCCTGTATTCCAGTTCTGTTAACACATCAGTTTTGCAGGTTTGAGCTGTATACAACATATTGTGCTCCAAACCAGAAACAGTTTCTTAAGGCTGAGTTTCCATAGCATAAATGGAGTCTGGTTGTACCATATTGTCTAGGCAGGGAGTCCTCCCCCAAGAGTTTTTCCCATCATGCTCAGATTTCTTAACTTCCTTGATAACCCTCCATGGACAGATGAGGTTCATAATTATCCCTTTCTTCATGAACATAGAATGGACTGGTATTTGCTGCTGCTTGTCTAAAATATATTGTACACCAAATTACAGGTGCTTACAGTTTTGGTATTATGTTTTTCAGAAATTCAGCCAGGATAATATAGAAGGTGGAACTAAACTGCTACCTCTGCTTCACAAGTTTTCCTTAACAATTTAAATGGGATTTGCTTCACCCGTGCTTGAATCTCTTCTGAGTTGATTTTCCATTAGCTTTCTTACTAATGAGAAAACACTGCTGCAAATGTAATTAAAAAAAAAATAAATCTGAAATTTCTACATGCAAATATTTGCACCAGATACAGTGATGTGTAATAAGGAAACAGACAATTGCATTTAAGAAGTGATGACTAACATTGAACAAATGGAGATTATTAAACAGAGAATAATTGCAAAAGACTTCCCGTGTTTGATCTGCAGTTACGTAAAATGCGGCCAAAAGTGTTGGTTAATTTTGAGCAACAAATGTAGTTGATTGATTGAGAAAAACCTTTTTGTTTGGTTACAGATAATGCTCAAGCAGAAGATGAGGTTAAGTGGGTTAGGCGAATAATTTATTGTAAAGCAATAATACAGTTTCACTTTTTCCTGCTGTTGTTACCTTTAACATTGTTTCCTTTTTTCTATTCTCAATTCTTCTGCAGAGACAAAATTGATAGCTACATAGGAGGAGTAGCTGACAGCTTAATGAACAATTATTAGGGTTTGAGGCATATTTTCCAACAGTTTTTCATGAAGAGATGGGTGGTGTAATCCACTGCAGTGTTTAAGTGGAGCCTTTTTTGTCAGCACCTGCTATTAGAGAGCATAACACTCGGTGGGACTAGAGCGTTTGCATCTCTTTTTAGAGAATTTGAGTGTTAGATGATTGAAAGCAAGCCACAGCACAAGGGGGACCTCATTTTCTGTCTCAGCATATGCAGAAAAGCCATGCACCTTTTGGAGGAACTAAACAATGGCTGTGTTTTGTACAGATTTTTGAAGCTTGATGCTGTCTCAGCATATTATTCCTCTCATAAAAACAAGGGAAAATAATTATGGAACTGTGCAAGATTTACAATAGCCTTCTGGCACCTAAAGGGGGTCAACAAGAAAAGCGGAGAGGGACTTTTTCCAAGGGCATGAAGCGATATGACAAGGGGGAATGGCTGTGAAGTGAAAGAGGGTAGATTTAACTTAGATATTAGGAAGAAGATCTTTACTGTGAGGGTGGCGAGGCACTGGAACAGCTGCCCAGAGAAGCTGCGGATGCCCCCATCCCTTGGAAGTGTCCAAGACCATGTTGGAGGGGTTTTGAGAAACCTGTTTTAGTGGAAGGTGTCTCTGACCATGGCAGGGAGGTTGGAACCAGCCGATCTTTAAGGTTGCTTCCAACCCAGATCATTCCACAATTCTATGATTCTCTGAATAGTAAGTATTGAAAAAGTCTCAGGGGTCATTTTTGAAATTCAAACCTGTTCTCTATCAGTGAATGGTCAATGCATCAGAGAAAAGTGGAGAGTTTTCCCATTTATTGAGCCATAGTTGATAAAGTTTTGATGGCACGAGCTGGGAAGTATAGCTCCATTTTTTTCAGTCAGCCCAGGTAGTTAAAAAGTTTCATGATTAATTGTGAATGCTGTCACCCAAATTGTAAGCTGCTTTCTTATATAGTCCCATCTATTCATCCTATCAAGTAGCCTGATTTCCAATATTGTCCTGGTTTTGATGGCACTATTGGAAGTCATGTGCTGTCAGGATTGTAGAGTGTTAGCCTACAAAATTACTGTGGAGTCACATTTATCTTGGTCAAACTAATTCTGTGATTGCTACTCAGACCCTCAAGACAACATAAAATCAATATCTTATGTAGCTATGTGTAAGGTTCATGTGAAATCTTTATTATAAACTCTTCTTTCAAGGCAAGGCAATTTCTCTGGAAAGCTAAAATATATGGGGTTTTGCCTCTCTTAATACTTGGAAGGTACTCAACAGAAGGACTGAAGGTGAAGATCTGCATTGATTCTGGCAAAGTAGACAGTGATAGTAGAGTTTTTAATGTATGTACAATCAAGGGCAATCAGATCTCCAGATATGATTGTCAGAATTAACAGCATAGGAGAGTTTGGTACATGTGCCAGCTAAGAAACCTATTCAACCAAAGCAAAGAAAACAGCATAAATATTGAGCTGCATGAGCACCTTACCTCTAGTGATTTTTAGCTAAGGAACCAATGTCTATAATTAGTTAAAAGTAGATTTGACTTGGTTTACATTTAAATAATGCTATTATACTAATTATTGTAATAAAGTTTTTAAAGGTATATTCTAACCATTTTGCAAAATATTTTCCTAAGCCCAACGCTTATGCTTTGGGATAATGATCGATTTTAGTGTATTGGAATACTTCCAATAAAATGCCTTATTTGTTCTTCCAGTAAGAAAACAGCACTGCAATTTTCTTGGGTTAGGAATAAAATAAAAATAAATACCATGTATTGATGTTACAATCACTGTCATCCTGCCAAAATATAAGCTAATGCAGCAACACAGTGTTCAAATTTTCAGTTTGGATGAAACCATGCTTCATATAAAAGTCACTGTTTGAAAATAACCCTGTACCAGTTACAAAAGATAGAAAGAGTCCTGTCATTTCATGTTTTGAAATATTAATGCTTTAACTCGTAACACGAAAAAGTGTTAGCTAGTGCAGCAACAATTAAAACTCAAAATACAGAGAGCATTTAAGGAATAAAACATTAAGGTGTATCATGTTTTGTTAAAATAGATATACACAAAGTAATTGACAACAATGACTCAGAAAAGATTAAAAGGAGAGGATTGTCATTTTATACCTAGAGTATCAGGACACTTTTATCGACACGGTATGCCTTCTATTTTTCATTCCCTAAAACAAAGATTTTTTAAACTAATTCTGTTCTTTTTAGTCTCATCTGAACTGAAACAGAATAACTTAGAATTTTTTTTTATTTATTTTTTTTTTTTTTGTGACAGTGACAGCAGCAGCTAGATGTGAGGTGTGGTTTAACTGGGAATTATAAGCATTTCGTAGTCACAGGCGAAAAGCTAAAAGTATCATTGGCAAATTTTGTAATCCTAATTCCGCCTGCAATCTCCTTCTCAATTTTCCAACGTTATTTACTTTAATTCCACTAATATATTCCATATTCAGCAAAATAGCATTACATAAGTACAGAAGAGAAGCTTTGCCTTCATTTTCTCTTGTTTCAGTGTTTCATTTTAACCATTTTACCAATACTACTTATCTTTTTATATGTTGAGTGACTATCCTTGAAAGCCTCTTGAGATATGGAAAACCATTCTTAATCTCATTTAACGTCAAAATCCTGCTTCGTAGAGATGCTGAGATACTTGCCTGAGGTTCCACACAAAGGACCAAATCTACAAAAGCATCTAAAAATGTACAAAGTATACCAACACTGAAGTCACAGTCAGATCCACATTTTAAGGACTGATCACCAGGAAAACATGATTTCCCTTCAAGTGCTCCAGGAATGGATGGCTGTGACTGGTTATCATGCTGCCATGCTAAATTCATAAACTGAATTTTTAAATAAGGGTATTCCTGAGCAAGACAGCTCTACCTAAATGAGTTAGAAATGCAGCCTTAAGTATACTGGTAGTCCAGACAGAAATCAAATATATCTCACCTAATAATTTCACTTACCGGGTTATGAACATGTTTTCTTGTAATTCTGTCTTTGAACTGGTATGCAGAGCTGCTGATATATTATGACAGGACAATGTTTAACAGGGGAAAAGCAGTCCAGGACGGCAGCACTGTGAAGGTCCACAAGAACCAACCCTGGCCTCAGAACATCTTAAATACATCTTCATGTATGTTTCAAATTCAATAGTTTAAAGCTTGCAAAGTTTGAAGCTTTGGGTCTGGACCTCATTGCACTATGTACCAATACCCAAATTCAAGCTGTAGTTCTTTCTTTCTTGAATAATTGTCTGTATACTTTCTCATTCATGAAGAAATGTCTTCAATAACCCTTTTATAGGGTCTTTCAGAATCACAAGGCACAATTTAGCATTTATGTCAAAAAGGCAAGGATTAATCTCCTATGTTTAGTTTATTCACCTAGTGATCTTAATTTTTTAGTGGTAAAAAAGAGGTTTGGGTATCTAAAGAGATGTATAAGACCTACAGCAAAAATCCAG